GAGTCCTCCCTCATTTCTGTGTTTGTGCTTAGAGGCACTACTTCATGTAATACTGCTGAAAGATTTATACTAGCAGATCAATATTTTGGGAACCTTTTCTAGTCTGGTCTCTGTTTATAGTTCTGTTCTTGAGTGGTGCTTAGCTACTTGTTCCAATACCAATCTGCAGCAGGTAGCTTGCTTGGAAGGGGTTGTCTACAGGATTTCCTCAGCTCTGATTTTTAATTACGCCCTCCAGGTTTGCTTCACTGATTGCAGTCTACATCATTGGTGGGTTCCTCTACCAGCGCCTTGTAGTGGGAGCGAAGGGCATGGAGCAGTTTCCTCACTTTGCCTTCTGGCAAGATCTGGGCAATTTGGTGGCGGTGAGTGAAAATCCCTGTATATTCCCAGTATGACCCACATATTAGGACAGGAGAAAATGGCATCTGCCTTATCTTTGTGGACAGTCTCTTGGGTACCACCAGGCTAGTCTAGTGTAGGCAGAAGAGAGTATCTATTGGTCGGTTTTTTGGGGGTGGGGTTTTTGGTTTTGGCTGTGGTGGGGTTTTTTTTTTTAGTACTCTATTTTTGAATCTTTGAGTCTGATTGCCTGCTGATATCCTGTGATTGCTACATAACAACCTAGAAGACATCCTTATTAGTGGTTAACACTTTTCAGGTAGGAATGTTAAGCTGGGGACTGTGAAATGTTCATGTCTGACTCCCTGAAGCCCTTCCTTGGTCACCATCGGCAGTGCCATTTATCCTCCGTGCTTGTCTCAGTGTGATGTTGCTGCACACTGTTACTCAATACCACGTTCTACCCCAGAGCTTTCAAGACAGAGTAGGATATTTGTATGTGTGCTTCTCTTGTCAAATAAGTTCTGGGGACCTGTCCCAGATAGCACAGGAATAGGTGTAATCCCTTAGCAAAAGAAAAATCACAGAAGCTGCTTTGCTTTGGATTGCATACAGTCTGATTCCGGTGCAATATCCTGTGCTTGTAGGATGGCTGTGACTTTGTCTGCCGATCTAAGCCTCGAAATGCGCCAGCTGCATACCGTGGTGTGGGTGATGACCAGCTGGGTGAGGAGTCAGAAGAACGGGATGACCACTTGCTACCAATGTGATAAGCTTTCAACACTGAGTTCTTTTCTTCCCGTCTCCCCAGCGCTTGTTTAGCCAGGTGCCTCCCAGCCAGTTTTCCTTCTCTCACTTTTGATTTTCTTTACACTATTTGCTTTTGCTGTCTCTGGCGTGTCAAGTCCCATGGGTGCCTCTGGGTGTGAACAGCACTGGTCCCTGATGGCATGTCTTACGAGTATAATGCAGTTTGAGGTTTTTAAAAATGCAGCAGAGCTCTGGGGGAGTAAAGTGCTGAGAGTTGAGTAG